AATTTAGCACCTTGAAGGTTTCCATTGGCACATCTACTTCTTTCACCACTATTCTCTCCACATCTCGCAAACCTACCATAGTTTAGTTACAAAGTCCCTTAGCTCACCAAGTTTATCAGCTTAGTTGGCCAACAAAAAGCTATCTCTACATCACCTACAGTTTGATTCTCTAGAACCCTGCCAGAACCCACCTTACTTACATTGTGCTTTGGATTTATATTCACTTCCTTATAGGTAGCCTACAATCTACCTACTTTCTTTTGATAGGTTGTTTGTATCTTAGAACAAAAGCTCACGTAGACCTCTCTTTCTAGCATGCATCTAGGCAACCAAGCATGCTATCAGCATTGAATAAATGAGCATGGGAGTCGCATTTTAATGTGATGTCGTAGTTGTAGAGTGCGGTACATGTCGAGCTGAGAGGTGGCCGCAGTAGGGGTTTTGAAACCAATGGCAGGGCATGGTGTAGTCCACACCTAGGGAGGAGCCATCGTCAAGGGATCCAGTCCTAAATCATATAAGTGACAAGCGAGCACGAGAGGCAAGCAGCTGAGGGCACGCAAGTGGCAGGTACGGGTGAGGAGCAAGTCATCAATCAGGGGGATATGTAAAAGAAGTGCATAGAGTAAGCCATCAGGAGGGTAGGGCAGGGTCGACCCTCCAGTCAGAGAGCATAGGAGGTAGGGTTGGTGCAACCAGCTAGGAGAAGGGGTTGCATAGTAGTCCTGTCGACCTGTAAGGGGATCAGCCATCCGTGGGAACCCTAGCCACCACCCACCACCCAGTACCCTTCCCCAGAAGGCGGTAAGCAGCAGGCGAGCCAGGCACAAGGGCACTGGTGGGCCCAAGGCAGGCAGCGAGCAAGAGGCATAGAGGCGAGAGCAAGCGGAAGCTGAGGCTATCACTGGAGGCACTCACAGTTGTGTCAATGTGTAGACCCAGAGACACTGCTATTGACAGGACTGAAGATGTACCATGCCCTAGTCCATCCTATATACTACATCGGCTAGTGCTATGACTAATCTCTATATGCTAAGCGGGAGCTGCTGACTATGAGCTATTGGCTAAGCAGGCCGGTATGTATTAGTGATGCATAATCGTCAATGATCAGCTGATGTACTAGGCTTACCAAGCATGCCAATGCCAAAAGTGCTGACATGAGCCAGACTTACCAACCAGGGCTTGGCAGAGGCTGTGCTAGTGATGTAGAGTGGCCATGAGGCCAGCTGACCCAAATGGTGGAGAAGACATTGATGGGAGGTGTCAGGATAAGGCCAGGTGGCCTGGGAGACAGCTAGAGTTGCCTAAGAAAGCAATGCTGAAGATCCAGAGCTAAGCTGAGCTAAGGATGGATGGTTCAAGAACCAGTCCCCTGACAGGATGATGTAAGGAGACAGTTCCTTATAAGGACATGTCCAATCTAACTTGGCTTAGTTTGGTATAATCAGTCTTCTTCTATCTGTCATCTGGGCTGCTCAGCATTCCTTTATACCCTTCTGCCAGTATTAGTTGTCTTCTATGAGCCATTGATCAGACCATTACTCATCTTTGATTATTGTTAGTCATTTCCCTTTACACACTTCAGGCTGATGTGTTATATAGTGTTAGTCATAGGTACCAGAGATGTAGTATATAAGGCAGCCTGTAGGATGAAACATCCTCAGACTGAACAATAGCAGTGTTTATCAGGCTTATACATTGAACCAACTGTAAGGCTATCAGTAACATGCTCTCCTGTTGTCAACACCCACTCTTGTCTTAGCTTATTCCTTGCTCACCCTTAGCCTGCCTCCATGGCTTGCTTGTTATCTATCTGAACATTGTCTGGCTTACTTCTTGGTTGAGTATCCCATAGTCTAGCTGTTTCCTTACAGACTCAAAGACACTGCTATTGCTAGGACTGACTATGCTCCAGTTCATCTTATATACTACATCAACTAATATTGTGATCTGATCTCTATATGCACTGACTATGATTTATTAACTAAGTGAGCTAGTATATAATAGTAATATGTAATTAACAATGATCAGCTGATGTACTAGGCTTACTGAGCATGCCAAGACTAAAGGTGCTAACATGGGCCAAGTTTACTCATCAGAGATAGCAAAAGCTGTGCTAGTAATTTAAAGTGGGCCTAAAGACCAGCTGACCCAAGTGGTAGTGAAGATGATGGATGAGAGGAAGTAAGAATAGGGCTAGGCAGCTTAGGAGATGGCTAGAGTTGCTTGAGAAGGTGATGCTGAAGATTTGGAGCTAGAGTTGAATAGTTTAGAGATTAGTCTTTTAATAACAATCACTGGAAGTTTATGGTGATACAGTTTTGATTCAAAGATCTCAGTAAAAGCTATGCCAACTGACTTTCCACCAGAGTAGAGAAGTATTTGGATCACCACTTTTTGTGCTGCTTGATGCAAGGCTTATTTAAAAGCACTGTCATGTCTTCTTTACTAGGATTTGAGCTTGAATGCAGTTAGTATCAAGTATAACAAGAAAGATCTATGAGGTTAGTGATCAAGTTTAAGCTTTACTAGGTTAAATGGCATATTGGCATCAGCCTGATTAATACTCCTGTGATAGATGCAGAGTTTTGTTATGCCATGTAGACTTCACCATATATAATGAAGCTGTCTTTGTCCATCATGATAGTCATTGTCTTTCTTAAACAAGAGATCAAAGCACTGGGTTAAAGGTAGCATATGGAGTCTCATTTTGAAGAGTGTTGAAATGTTCTTTACAAGAGCTAGGATATCAGTAACATGTGGGGTTGCTTTTTGAATGTTGGTTCTCAAAGGTTTTATACTACATTCTGGGCTTGTAAAGCATTCCTGTCATGCCGAGTTACAAGAGAATAATACCTCAATGCTAGCTCAATGATTAAGTCTTGATTAGGTCACCCATCAAGATCTTTTGCTCATATAACCACTCACCATATATAATAAAGCTCTTCTTGTTTGAACTAAATGGTTGAAGCCTTACTGTAGTTTATAGAGTGAGTGACACTGGTATGTACTTGGTGCTGAGTGAGGATGATAAACAGCTGAGTAATGCCAAGCTGAGGCTGACAGAGTAGGGTGGGTTCTGAAGATTAGCTGATCTGATCAGGAGGTGGTACCAAGATGGAGCTAAGCAGTGTACCAGCATCAACAGAGTTGGAGATCAGTCTCCTTATAGATGCAAGTTAAGAGTAGGGAAAGGCATCATGGTGAGGTTGATCAAATGATTGGTTCTTGATAGAAGGATGAAGAGGTATGGGAATGATCAGGCCTCTCTGGCTTATTTTTGGATTGGGTAGTACACCACACCCTTTGGTGTGTAGTGGGGACTGGGAATCACCCATAATCAACTGTTACAATCCAATGTATAAAAATGAGCTGGTATTTTATTGGAACCGCACATAGCATGTGAATGAAGTTGTTGTCCGTGATGAGACCCAAGGCGAGTCAGGCGTGTGTAGGCTGACTAGCTCAGTTGGTTAGAGCGTCGTGCTAATATCTTGCTTTCCTCCGTTCATATATATTAACGCGAAGGTCTTGGGTTCGATCCCCACGTTGGCCAAAGAAAAGAAGCCATTCTTTTTCATTTCATTTCATATGCAAGTTCCACCTTTGTCTTATGGTTATTATTATTGTTACATGACTTGAGCATAACGACGCGATTTGAATACAAAGTTGTACCACTATGCCTATGATCACTCACCCAGATCCGGTAACGGCGTCAATCTCACCCCTCACGGCATATCATACCGCGATCCGATCCACTCTCCACTCCAATCTGCACTCTGGAGCCACAGCACGGGTAGCCGACAGGATGTATGTAAGGCAGTGATGAGACGCAGGAGATTAGACAGATCGGTCCGGCGAGGGTGGACTGCCGACGTTACTCCATAAGGACATCACGCGTTGTGGATGGCTTGGCCCTCTTGACCTCTCCCCATGGATGCAGGCAACGAATCGCCGCCTCATCGCACGCACATTCTGGGTTCCTTCCTGCGCGGCCGACCGAGGAATTCGTCCATCATCAACGCCGACAATCGTGAACTCTCCCCTTCGCCGCCCGTGCAACCTTCTGCTTCTACCACCACAGCCACCACAGCCACAGCCACAGCAACCACCACCACCACCACACTCTCCAACATGCTCCGGCGCCGCCGTTCAGTCGGAGCAATCACCACGCCCGCCCCGCCATCCGCCCCCACCACGTCCGCCAACTCCCCCGCCCAAGCCACCCACCGCATCCGCCTCGTCCCCCACATCGATTCCCGCCGCACACTCCGCTTCGACGCCATCACCCGCGACCTCGTCTCCGGCACCCCCCCCCTCCGCATCGGCCGCTTCACCGACCGCTCCGGGCTCGGCATCGCCGCCGTCAACGCCCTCGGCTCCAACCGCCTCGCCTTCAAAAGCAAAGTCGTCTCGCGCGCCCACGCAGAGATATGGGTCGAGACCGGCGGTCGCTTCTTCATCAAGGACACCAAGTCCTCTAGCGGGACGTTTTTGAACCATGTCAGGCTTAGTCCTGCCAATACCGAGAGTAGGCCTTTTCAGATGAAGGATGGGGATATCTTACAGCTTGGAGTTGATTATCAGGGGGGGACGGAGGATATATATAAGAGTGTGAAGATTAGGATTGAGTTGGGGAGGGAGTGGCAGGCCGGCGCTAATGCGTTCAAGTGGGCGGGGGGTTTCGCTTTTGTCGCTCTTATCATGCTCACAGTCTTTTATGCAGCACAAACACACTTAAAATACTGAAAACGCTCCAAACGCCTCTCATCCCCACCACCACCACCACCACGCCAAAGACCCAAATCCCCGACTGCTGCATCTGTCTCTTTAGCGTAACGATCCGCCAAGCGCTCTTCATCGCCCCATGCTCACACACGTTCCACTATAAATGTATACGGCCCCTCCTCGAGACGCACCATCCCGCGTTTTCGTGCCCGCTTTGTAGGACCTTTGCGGATTTGGAGGAGGATGTCGAGGTTGAGGGTGAGGGCGAGGGCGAGGATGCGGGCGGGGCGCAAGAGGAAGAGGGAGAGGGAGAGGGAGAGGGAGAGGGAGAGGGGAGTGGAGCGCATGACCCGCTCGTCGCGCTCGTCGAGCCCGTCCCTATGCACGCCCACACACCGATTGTCGAAGTAGAAGAGAGCGAGGGTCCGGAAGACGAGATGCATGGCGTCGAGAGCGAAGCGAGCGCAAGCGGGAGCGGGGCGTGTCCGGTGAGCGAGATCGGCGAAGTCCATGTTGGGACGGAGATGCAGGTTGAAGTCGAGGTGGACGCGACTGTTGCGGGGAAACAGAGAGATGTCGTCGTTTCGTCGTCGTCGTCGTAGCCCCCCCCCTCCCCTCGTTGTTATGATTTCTTTTTTTTATGATACCCCCCACCCCCACCCACACACACCTACGCTATCTCAGTAACATCACATAGTGCTCTTTTTTTTTGGTTAAGCATCGATACGACATATACAGATTTTATGAATTTATTGTACCTCTTTTGTGGATTGATGGTTAGCTATTACGGATTTTGTGTGAACGAGTTGAGAGAGTACGTGTCTGCGCCCTCTCTTGATAATAATAATAAGAATACTGCCCTCTCAAGCTCCACGCAACGTGACGAAGAAAAGAAAAAAGAGAGGGAAAAGGCGATGTAGATGGCCAACGTGGGGATCGAACCCAAGACCTTCGCGTCAACATGTCCGCACGCATGGGAACATATTAGCACGACGCTCTAACCAGCTGAGCTAGTCGGCCCTTACGCAAATGTTATCTCGCGGTATCAAGTGGTGAAGAAATAATAAAAAAAAACATCGTGGGATGGTTGGTGGATGGCTGACGTGGGAATCGAACCCAAGACCTTCGCGTCAACATGTACACAGATCACAAATAAATATTGGTGCGACGCTCTAACCAACTGAGCTAGTCAGCCATTGTTGATTGTGTTGGGTAATCTAACATCGCCTATGAGACGCGCGAGGAGCAGGTTATATGTGGCTACTCACTCCTCCCTACTTCCCCCATCTATAATGATGGAAGTGGATACCGGATCTCAAGGCCTGAAAGTCAACGCTGGGCTTGAGCTATGAACATGTGAGGTAAGAATTTATATGGGGAGCAAAAACTTAGGGCTTAACTTAAACTCACGTATGGCCAACGTGGGGATCGAACCCAAGACCTTTGCGTTAATATGTCCGCGCGCACATATATTAGCACAACGCTCTAACCAGCTGAGCTAGTCGGCCATAGCCAGAACCTCCTTACATACACTATTCCCTTATGAGACGCGCGCAGGGTGTCCGAAATTGATCCGTGTTTCGATGGTGCTTCCAACTGTCATGATTGACTATCCCATTACTCCTCATCTGAATTCAATCGGTCCCTCTCGTTCCTCATAGCGATGCATACACAACACACTCAACTGCTCGCATCTGGTCCTTTCAGCTTCGCTTCGTCTCGTCCCCTCATTTTCCCAACAACTTTCTGTTCCGAAGGCATTTCTCGCCATCCATACATTGACCATACCAAAATACCGCCTTCCTCTAACCTCTCCCATGGGCTACCCAACACCGTGATCGACCGAAAATCCATGGCTACAATAGACTGTTGACAATCCATCATTTCCCCACCCACCACAGCTGGGGAGCTACGGGTATCCGTCATCACTCGGTTCTCATGAAACATCCCAGGGTGAAACAGAGGAGTTCCGCTCATCCCCGGGCTCAGGCACCCATAGGCGGGTATTTAATGGACGAGGAATCGAACGAGGAAGAGCACCCCCTAGCTGGTCTAGTGTGTCCCTCCGTAAGTAGACTCTCTTCTGCACAGATCCCCCCGCGCATGCTGAACGTTGCCTCCATATCGCAGTACAACCGTTCGTTGACGAACCTAACCTTCTCTCACAACCCCCCCCCGGTCTCTCGTTTCACGTTCCGCAATCATGCGTTTCTCAGCACTCCTTGCTCTTTCCTTGGCAGCAGTCACACTTGCGTACGTTGTTCAGTGTTTATCTCTTTCGGGAGCTCTTTTCTGATTCCAGACCGCCAACCCCACCAGCCAACCCTTTGCTCCGTCCGACGAGCATCACTCCACCACCGTGTCCCGCCAAGGTGGCGGCGGCGTCGAGACGACTATGCACGACGAGCACGATGCTGGTCTCAGACCTCCCACCGCAGAGTTCAAGACGTCCAAGCCATCATTAAACATAAACTCTTACAACGGGATCCGTCCGAACGACAGGAAGAACGAAGCGGGTCCTTATGGTCGAAAGTACCAGGGGCATCACCATCACCACCACCACCACCACCATCACCATCACCATCACCAGCAATCTCAGACTCAGAACAATCCCGCCGATCCTCACGCCACATCCGCGTCTCTGAACTCCCCTCACGAAGCTCCTCAAAATGACAGGACGAACGCACAGGGCTCTCCTCCTCCTCCTCCTCTGACTGGGAAGAACCCCGCTGACGCTCACGTTGCTCCAAACGACAAAACGACCGCACAGGGCTCTCAGCATCCTGCTGGGGCTCACGTTCCACCTGCTGGTGCGCACCTCAGCAGCCGAGACTTGGGCGCGTACGAGCAAATTGTGGCGCTCGTGGCCCGGGACATAGGCGACGAGGCGTTCATGGCCCTCGCAGCGCGGACGATGGAGAAAAACAGTGATGCCGAGCTCAACGGTCTGGGTTCTCAGCCCGGCAGGAAGCACAAGCATCATGGGGAGCACCATGGGAAGCATCATGGGAAAGGCAAGGGAGGGAAGTACGGGAAAGGGAGGAAGATGCAGGGAAATGGAATGTATGGCGCGCAGCGTCCTGAGGCTCCGAATACGACTCTAGGCGCTCCTCCGGTGTATCCGCCGAAGGGCCCAGTTGACACGAACATGGTTGGGGCTGGTGCGGTTCCTGAATTTACTCAACCGCAAGTCCCAGGTGCTGTTTAGAGGTTTGGTATAACGTACTTTGTCTTGTACATTTCAATGCACTCAGCCATATCCCGCCACTTTGACGCCCTCTGACACGAACATGGTTGGGGCTGGTGCGGTTCCTGAATTTACTCAACCGCAAGTCCCAGGTGCTGTTTAGAGGTTTGGTATAACGTACTTTGTCTTGTACATTAGCTCAATGCACTCAGCCATATCCCGCCACTTCGGCGCCCTCGCTCTTCCACGTTCAAGGCTACAAGTGCCGGAATTACTCGGTAGTTAAGAACTATTTTTTATCACCTCATCTTAGGTGTTGGAGCTCCCGTGCTGATATTTTTCTCCCATAATTTACCGAAAGTTGCGGGCTATGAATCCCCAAAATTCATGTCTACGAGATGAACATTCAGACAAGTTCCTCGGCTGTGAGTCGCCTTAGTCGCCTTGAGCGTTCTTTCGCAAGGTATTGCAATTTTGTAGTGCACGCTCCAATCATCCTATCGTCGAACACAAGTTGAATATACAAGGTTCGATTGTATCCAGAACAAGTATTGCGTAGCCCTGGCACTATTGTCATGTTTCCGAGAAATGCAACAGACGTCGTCCATTGGTCATGTTCAATTTCCGTATGAGTGTTCTCCGTGACTAGCCACTGTCCCTAAAAGAACTACAGACTCTATAACGCAAGTATGGGCGTTTCAGCAAACTTCTCTATTATAACGATTCTGCGCGAATTGATGAGAACAAGAATGAACTGGATATGGTGTCTTCGTATTGAGTAACTATTGAGACAGCGTAGTTGCTAGCGGTTTGGACCATGCGTATTGCGTCCACCCGAATAATTTCCCAGAGAGCTCGGATGGGAGAGGTGGATTGCGACGTTGCGCCCCGTATCGGACTCTGATGCATGGTATTCGTCCCAACGACGCCGGGATAGGTGAACTCATCAATGTTTCTAGGTGCGATTATTGAGATCTTTGGAGGATTATCGGAGTAACCAAGGAGGAAAACGAGAGCTTGTTGTCTTGGGGAACGACGAAGGAAACGATTCTAATTGTGACATCATCTGTTCTTCCAGGAGTTGACAGAAGAATGCGTGGGTTCCAGGAAATGCAAGTGAGTTGCGTGCTGAACAACATCCGAGCTTTGAGTAGTGGAGATGGTAGAAACACGACACATGCGAGGTCGATTCCTCCTACAAACACTGCATGCATGACTTGCCCAGTCATGTCACATTGAATGCTGGTCAGTTCTGTCAACATTATGAGGCGTTTTCTACCTGAGAATATCCACATCGAAATACGTAGCAGTCATCAAAATCTGCTTCGGCGGATGACATGCAAGGAAACATTTGAGGCAATGATAACCACTTGGATCGAAGGTTCTCATCCTGAACATACTCAAAGGTCGCATTGACAATCGCCTCTTGCTCTAGGTGCCGGCGGACCGGCCGGTAGATTGATTACACCCCTAGATCATCCAAGTTCGTTCTTTGTCCAAGCAGTCTATGTGCAAGATAACAGATTGCAACATAGATAGACCACGAAAACCCTCCTACGACTCGAGTCAAGTATGCGTTGAAAAGCTTCGAAGAGAGAATAATGCTATTCACAGGTCATAATGCAGCATGGAAGTCCTGTTCCTCATGCCCACACCCAGAGTGAAGAAGGTAACATACAAAAGAGCATCGCAGATATTAGATACGGATCTTTGTTGGCAGTAATCGAGATAATCCCGAGCAGAATAAACATAATGAAGGGGGCACACTTGGACCAGAATAACCCGCCACGTATACAAAAAGGACTTCACAACGTATGTTTGATAGAAGATCCACTGCGGCCAGTTCGCGATTGTCGGCAAAAGAGGAGTGAAGTAGTGTTCCTAGCAGCTAGCAAATGTGCGTAACACGAAGAAATTCGGCTTCAACGTCTAATGAGCGTTCTCCCAGCCGGAACCATATTATGAAAGCTAGCTTTCGTCGAGGCAGCAACTGTGGGACCACGAGAAAAACAATAGTTTGTTCAATGCGCGTGTCCTTTTTGCTCGAAGGGTGACCTGCCAATTGTAAGGTCATCTGAAAGAAAGCTACACAGTGGTATATTCTGTACCATGAACGACATACTATAGTACATTGCATTTCACAAGGATCGGCAATACAAACAACTACCCTTGTGCCTGCCCCTTGTTTTTCTTTCGTCGTTTATTTTGCGTATCAATTGACCCATCTACGGATACTGTATTATCTGCTTCAGCTCGACGCTTCTTCGACGGAGGTTGAGAGGCGCCAGCTTGAGAGGCAAATGTTTGGGTTTGGGGTTCAGGAGCTGTTGATACCGAGTTGGATTCGATGGATAACGGAGAGTTCTCTCCCTGAGGGATAACGATCTTCGGCTCTGAAAACACTGCGCGGTAAGTAAATCGTGTTTCTGTGGGTAAAGTGTCTATGAAATCGTTCTCAGGGTGGATGATGAGACTCACGAGCTCGAACCACCAGGGACTTGGGGACTTTGGTGAGTGAGCTATGGGAGACATCTTGAGCCAGTCCGAGTAGCGTTATACTATGTAAGTGAGCCGAACAAGACGATGCTAAGATTGGAGAGAACCTACAGGTTCCCAACGTCTTTCGGCGCTCGCAGGTCTGCATCAGACATGACGCCGCCACTGATTAGAAGGTTCTTCCCCTTTGTAACACGAGCCAGTTCTCTGGCAGCAGCCCACCAATTTCTCTTCGCTCCAGAACCATTCTCAGCTCCACCTGCATCAACTAAGACAGGATGATTCTCGCCTCCTAAAGCTCCAACGTAACTGATCTCGAAAACCGCTCCATTTTTTATCGCAGTTCGAATCAAGGTGTGCTTGAGGTGGAAGGATAATCGGGGTAATGTCAAAGGCAGAGATATTATGTGTGCAGTCAAAGATGATGGCATCGAGTGGGTAAGGCAGGCGAGCGAGAAGGTGGCTTGTGTCAATGGCACAAGACCAATCAGGTCATACGAAGTGAACAGCGAGGCATTGGCGTTGGTCTAAGACAGTTGTCAGGATTGAAATGTGTCGCTTGACTACGACTCGCTCACCAGACCAAAGCCTTTCTCACTATCATCATCAAGTACAATGCTCAGACGCCTCAAGTAGATGATTCCTTGTCGTTTTCTGAGCTGATTGATGAGAGCCTCTGCCATGTTGACGTGGCTCTTTTGATCAACTCGCTTGGGAACGAATTGGTTGAACGCGAAGACCGTGTATCCTACTTGAGATTAACTACTGAGTTGAACTCGATACACGAAATGAGAGACATACACCGAACCAAAAGGTCAATCCGTG